TTAGTAGAGACGGGGTTTCACCGTGTTGACCAGGATGGTCTCGATCTCTTGACCTCGTGATCCACCCGCCTCGGCCTCCCAAAGTGCTGGGATTACAGGCGTGAGCCACCGCACCCGGCCTGGTATGTGTTAAATTTTTAAATTTTTTTTAAGAGACAAGGTCTTGCTGTTGCCCAGGCTTGAGCTCAGTGGTACCATCATAGCTCATTGTAACCTCAAACTCCTGGGCTTAAGCAATCCTTCCACCTTAGCCTCATGAGTGGCTGGGACTGCATGCAGGTGCACGACACCACATGTGGACAGGATGTATGTTGAGTATTGAAGTGAGCCCAGAGAATGTAGCATCTACACAAGACTTGAGGCATTGTGTGGTAGGAAGGACACAGGCTTTGGGCTCAGATGTAGCTGGAATTGAAGGCCAGCTTTACTTCTTCAGCTCTGTGTGTACAGGGACAACTCATGCACCCTCCCTGAGCATCCTTCTTCTGTTCTGTAACTGGGTCACTTATCTGTGTACGGCTGCTGAGGGAATTGGCTTGTTAAAGCAGGTAAGGGGCCCGGACAGAGCCTGGTCCTCTGTTAATATGGTAATGTCTGGAGCCCATGTTATTAGCTTGTTCTTTCTTTGCTGCAGAAATGGAAAATATAATAAAGTGAGGAGGCAAGTTGAACTACTTTAAATGTGGCAGTTAGAGAGAAATAAATTGGAGGTTATGCCCAGAGCTTTTTTTTTTTTTTTTTTTTTTTTTTTTTTTGCGATGGAGTCTAGCTCCATTGCTGAGGCTGGAGTGCAGTGGCATGATCTCAGCTGACTACAACCTCTATCTCCTAGGTTCAAGTGATTCTCCTGCCTCAGCCTTCCGAGTGGCTGGGACTATAGCTGTGTACCACTGTGCCCGGCTAATTTTTGTATTTTATTTTATTTTTGAGATGGAGTTTTGCTCTTGTTGCCCGGGCTGGAGTGCAGTGGCACGATCTTGGCTCACTGCAGCCTCCACCTCCCTGGTTCAAGTGATTCTCCTGCCTTAGTGTCCCGATTAGCTGGGATTATAGGCGCAAGCCATCATGCCCAGCTAATTTTGTATTTTTAGTAGAAATGGGGTTTCTCCATTGGTCAGGCTGGTGTCTAACTCCAAACCTCAGGTGATCTGACTGCCTCGGCCTCCCAAAATGCTGGGATTACAGGTATGAGCCAATGTGCCTGTATTTTATTTTTAAATTTTTATTTATTTATTTATTTATTTTTGAGACTGAGTCTTACTCTGTGGCCCAGCCTGGAATGCAGTGGCGTGATCTCAGCTCACTGCAACCTCTGTCCCCCAGATTAAAGCAATTCTCCTACCTCAGCCTCCTGAGTAGCTGGGATTACAGGTGCTCGCCACCATGACCAACTAATTTTTGTATTTTTAGTAGAGATGGGGTTTCATCATATTGGCCAGGTTAGTCTTGAACTCCTGACCTCAGGTGATCCACCCGCCCTGGCCTCCCAAAATGTTGGGATTTCATGCATGAACCATTGTGCCCGGCCAATTTTTGTATTTTTTTAGTAGCGGCAGGGTTTCATCACGTTGACCAGGCTGGTCTTGAACTCCTGACCTCAGGTGATCCACCCACCTTGGCCTCCCAAAGTGCTGGGAATACAGATGTGAGCCACCATGTCTGGCCTGCTGTTATTGTTATTTTGAGGGTTAAAGTGTTGTATATGACTTTTTTTGCATATGACTTTCATAAATAAACTTTATTGATGTATAATTTACATAAAATAAAATACAGCATTTTAAGTGTACAGTTTCATGTGTTTTGACTAATGTGTCATTTAAAATTATATACACACACACACACACACACACAAATACACATACACATACACACACATACACACACACACACACAATGTAGTAGTTTTGATAATAAGTTTAGGAATCCTGCAAGACTGCTACACATAGCAGAGATCCTGTACCTTTAAAAGAAAAAAGACAGTAGTAGGCCAGGCGCGGTGGCTCACACCTGTAATCCCAGTGCTTGGGGAGGTTGGGGTAGGACGATATCTTGAGGCCAGGAGTATGATACCAGCTTGGGCAACATAGTGAGACTCCTGTCTCTGCAAAAAATAAAAAATACGAGTTGAACCTGATGGCATGTGCCTGTAATCCCAGCTGTTTGGGAGGCTGTGGTAGGAGAATTGCTTGAGCCCGGGTATTCAAGGTTGCCTTGAACTGTGATGGCACCACTACACTTCAGCCTGGGTGACAGAACCAGACCCTATTTTTTTTTTTTTTTTAAGAAAATTAGAGATTGGGCATGGTGGCTCACACCTGTAATCCCAGCACTTTGGGAGGCCAAGGTGGGTGGATCATGAGGTCAGCAGTTCGAGACCAGCCTGACCAACAGGGTGAAACCCTGTCTCTACTAAAAATACAAAAGTTAGCTGGGCGTGGTGGCATGTGCCTGTAATCCTAGCTACTCAGGAGGCTGAGGGAGGAGAATTGCTTGAATCTGGGAAGCAGAGGTTGCAGTGAGCCAAGATGGCACCACTGTGCTCCAGCCTAGGCGATAGAGCAAGAATCCGTCAAAAAAAAAAAAGGAAAAGAAAACTAGAATAGTGGATAATGTTGATGGTTGCACAACATTGTAAATGGAAATTTACACCTAAAGATGGTTAAAATGGCAAAGTATATGTTCTCTATATTTTCATTTTACCAATTCAAAAAGTAGCCTGGTTTCATTTTTATCCACTCTTAGTAAATTGTCATTCCGCATAACAGGATGACTCGTATGAGGCTGTTGTAAAGTCATAGCCAGTCATAACAACGCCGGGGCTCTGTCCAAAGGGACCCATCAATGCAGGTTGGTGGAAGTTGTAGTTATCACCCATGAAGAGCTTTGTGTTGTAGACAGTTAGCTGCTGACAGCATGAGCAGCTTCCTGGATAATGCACAGATAGCTGTGTGTTTTGTTTTCCTGTTAGCATTGTTTTCCCATAAGGTTTGTTTCTGTACACGTTTGGGGTACAGGAGATAAGAGTTTCCTTTAAGTGGCAGCTTGAAGGCTGGGGTGTGCACCTTCTTAAGTCTTGTGCTGATACCCAGGGCACAGGGACGTCCTGATGTGGCGTGCAGCGCTTCTGGTCCTGTGTCCCCTTCCTGACCCTTAAGCCTTGTGTGGGTTGTTTTGTGATGTTTTGAGTATCCCATCCCAACAGCTGATCTCAGCAACTTCTTTTTCTGTGCAGTGCCAGATCCGCTTTGGAGGGAGAAAGGAGATCGCCTCGGATTCCGACAGCAGGTAAATATGTGTCTTCTAAAATCATTGACCATCGAGGTTGAAAAGGCAACAGAAGGTGACTGGCTTCTGTTCTCTGCCTCTGCAGCCGAGAGGTACAGTGCAGAAATTTGAGTCACCCGTGGATTCTCTGTGCAGTGACTACTCATCTCAAACACTCCACATTTTCCATAATTCTCTTTCTAGGAATCTATTCTGAAGGAATTATTCAAGATACCTTTCCATATAAAGTTATTTTCAGGATAGGTAATAATTATAAGAACTTAGATGTCTAAATACCCAATAATTGGGAAATAGTTAAAGTATAATGCATTAATAGGATAGAATGTTATACAGTCATTAAAAATGATATTTATATAGAATTTTTTTTCTTTTTTTTTTTTTTTTTTTTTTTTTTGGATGGAGTTTCGCTCTTGTTACCCAGGCTGGAGTGCAATGGCGCGATCTTGGCTCACCGCAACCTCCACCTCCTGGGTTCAGGCAATTCTCCTGCCTCAGCCTCCTGAGTACCTGGGATTACAGGCACGCGTCACCATGCCAGGCTAATTTTTTGTGTTTTTAGTAGAGACAGGGTTTCACCGTGTTGACCAGGATGGTCTCGATCTCTTNCCTCCGCCTCCCGGGTTCAGGCAATTCTCCTGCCCCAGCCTCCTGAGTCGCTGGGATTACAGGCACGCGCCACCATGCCCAGCTAATTTTTTTATAGTTTTAGTAGAGACGGGTTTTTACCGTGTTGACCAGGATGGTCTCGATCTCTTGACCTCGTGATCCACCCGCCTCGGCCTCCCAAAGTGCTGGGATTACAGGCTTGAGCCACCGCGCCCGGCCCATAGAATTTGTTTTCAACAGAAAAGCACGTAGGTAGTGATTTAAAAATATGTATGTAGTAAAAGGCATATGTTGTAAAAAGAGCAGGATACGAAATTGTATGGATGCAGAGTGGTCCTAGCTATGTCAGATAGCACTGGCCAAACACACTGAAATGTGGCCTGAGGTAGCAGTAACGGGTAAGAATATTGGGAATATTGCTTTCTGGTATGTTTCATGTTTTTTACTGTGATTATCTGTTTCTTTTATGATAACAAGTATTTCCTAAAAATGGGCCAGATGCGGTGGCTCATGCCTGTAATCCCAGCACTTTTCGAGTCCTAGGCAGGGGGATCCCTTGAGGTCAGGAGTTCAAGACCAGGCTGGCCAACATGGAGAAACCCTGTCTCTACTAAAAATACAAAAACTAGCTGGGCGTGGTGGTGCACACCTATAGTCCCAGCTACTTGGGAAGTTGAGGCAGGAGACTCGCTTGAGCCCAGACTAATTTTGGGGAAAATCAAGGGTTTGGGGGTGGATGTTGCAGTGAGCTGAATTTGCACTACTACTTTCCAGCCTGGGTGACAAAGTGAGACAGAGTGAGACTGTGTCTCAAAAAAAAAAAAAAAAAATCTTAAAAATGGCCATTGACATTCACAACCCAGGAAAGGCTGACATAATTGCATAAGCTGTTAACATTGGCTGAAAGGAGACACATAGGACTTGGCAAAGGTAGGAGACACAGAGGCATCCAGTCCTTGCTGCAAATGCGTTGTGAGCTCAGTCAGAGCTGAGTCGCGCTCTGCAGACCCTGGGGTGGCAGGAGGGACTTTCCTGCATAGGAAGGAAAGGGAAGGGAACTTATTTGCTCAACGTTCATCTCATCCTGGAAACTGTTCATGTCCCCCACCCTCTCACCCTAGCCCACCCACCCATGTCCATCATTCCTTTTTCAGTCCTTTCCTTCCTTTGTTCTTCTGTAAAACTTTAACAGCCATGAGTAAAGCATGTAGACCTGCCTGGAATAGAGCTATGAGGGTGATTTGAAACTGGCATAGGTTTAAAATGATACATCTTATAATCCATTCCTTCTTTGCTTAGGTTTTCTCCATGACATGTATCACCCTCCAACAGGCTATATATACATTCAGCTTTTTATTTTGCTTATTATCTGTCTCGTCACTATAATGTCAGCTATGTTCAGGCAGGGATGTTTTGCTGTCTTGTTTACAGATGTCTCTCCAGTGCCTAGAAGCATCTAGAAGGTACTCAGTAAAGATTTGTTATCCAGATGAGTATGTGTATTACATACTCATCCATCATCATGAAAGGATGTTTCTCCATTTTTAAAAAAAATTTACTTCTCAGTGTTTTACACAAGCACTTTGTGCCTATCATACATTAGATTCTCAGTATATGTTTGTGGCATTAGATCATTAGGCTGATTGATCAATTTAGTCCTTCTTGAGGGCCTGGCTTTGGTCTACACAGGGATCCAAGGTCTGCTTGCGTCAGAATCTCCTGGGAGACTTATTGATGATACATTGTCTAAGTCGCATCCTAGTTGTTCTGGAGCAGGTTGTGTATATGTGCATGAATGTGTGTGTGCATGTACTGAAGCCGAGGAGCTTGCTGAGAATTTGCATTTCAGCAGGCTCCCCAGGTGATTCTGCTAGACACCAAAGCTTCCAGTCCAGTCAGTTTTTAAGGGCCTGAGATGCAGAGGTAATTAGGAAGGACTCCCCTTTCCTGGCCAGGTTGGTTTGTCTGTGTGTATGTGTGTGTGTGGTGGGTGTCTGTATATACACGACTTCTTGATCAATTTTCTTTATTACCATGCTGTCCATTTTCTGAGAGAGGCAATCCTCCTCTGAATGTTAGGTTAATGTGTTCTTACACAGGGTATGCCTCGTCCAAAAACCCAAAATTAGAATGCTCCAAAATCCAAAACTTTTTGAGTACCAACATGATGCTCAAGGAAATGCTAATGGCAGCAAGTTGGATTTTGGATTTTTGGGTTAGGCATGCCTAACTGGTAAGTATATGATACGCATATGCCGTAGTCCAGAAAAACCTGAAATTGGAAACTCTTCTGATTCTAAGTATTCTGGATAAGGATTACTGAATCTATATAATAGAATTTACTGCCATAACCTTTGTTACAGAAAATGTTGTTTTATGTAGAAAAAAAAAGTTAATTCCTTCTGTGACAACTGTCATTTATGGCTAAAAGGAGTACACTGCTTACTATTAATAATAATAGGCCAGGTGCTGTGGCTCATGTCTGTAATCCCAATGCTTTGGGAGGCTAAGGTAGGAGAATTGCTTGAGGCCACTAGTTTAAGGCTGCAGTGAGGTATGATCGTGTCATTGCACTCCACCCTGGGCGATAGACAGAGACCCTGTCTCTAAAAACAAACAAAAAGTAATAATAATAGTTATAGTATGTGACTGCCTTTGTTGTGTTTTATTTATGTTGACGCTTAGTCCTCAGGAGGAGTAGAGGTATTATCCTTTCTTTTTTTGTGAAACGGGGTCTTGCTCTGTCGCTCAGTCTGGAGTGCAGTGGTGTGATCATGGTTCACTGCAGTCTCAACCTCCCAGGCTCAAGACCTTCCCACTTCAGCCTCCCAGGTAGCTGGGACTACAGATGCAAGCCACCATACCTGGCTAATTTTTGCATTTTTTGTAGAGATGAGGTCTCACTATGTTGCCCAGGCTGGTCTCGAACTTGTGGACTCAAGTGATCCTCCCACCTTGGCCTCCCAAAGTGTTGGGATTACAGGTGTGAGCCACACTGTGCCTGGGTTATCCCTTTTTTACTTTTGAGAAAACAGATGCAGAGAGGCAAAATGCTACAGCCTAGGTTAGACATTTTGGAAGGGCCAGAGTTCCATGGTCTGTTCTTTCTCTGTTGTATGATATTTAGTGACTAAATTGGTTTTGAGGCTGGGTTAAAAAAAAAATTATTCTCCTTTACCCCAGGGGGATTCCTTCTTAATATCAGAGCCTTGGTCTTACCTTTGAAATATTTTTGGCTAAAGGTGGCACCACCTTCATGTTGGAAAGGCCACATCATCATCCATATTCTGTGAGAAAGTTGAATCTCAGCTGGGCGCAGTGGCTCACACCTGTAATCCCAGCTCTTTGGGAGGCTGAGATGGGCAGATCACTTGAGGTCAGGAGTTTAAAACCAGCCTGGCCAACATGGTGAAACCCAGTCTCTACTAAAAATACAAAAATTAGCCAAGCGTGTTGGCACATGCTTGTAATCCCAGCTACTTGGGAGGCTTAGACCGAAGAATCGCTTGAACCTGGGTGGCAGAGATTGCAATGAGCCATGACTGCACCACTGCAAGACAGCCTGGGTGAAAGAGTGAGACTGCATCTCAAAAAAATAACTAAAAAAGTCCTCATGCAGTGGCTCACGCCTGTAATCCCAGCACTTTGGGAGGCCGAGGCAGGCAGATCACCTGAAGTCGGGAGTTCGAGGCCAGCCTGACTAACATGGAGAAACCCTGTCTCTACTAAAATGCAAAGTTAGCTGGCCATGGTAGCACAGTCCTGTAATCCCAGCTACTCGGGAGGCTGAGGCAGGAGAATCACTTGAACCTGCGGAGGTTGCAGTGAGCTGAGATTGTGCCATTACACTCCAACCTGGGCAACGAGAGAAACTTCTTAAAAACAAAACAAAAAAACCCAAAAAACCAAAAACAAAAACCAAAAAAAAAAATTTAAAAAAAGGAAGAAAATATGAAATATTGGTTGGCTGCTTGTTTGTCATTTTCCTCCCTTATTCCTTCCTGTCTCTATTGTTAAGCACAATTATTGGCATAAAAGAGGTTTTCAATACCCATTTTAGACTGCATTCTAGCCTGGGCAATAAAGCAAAACTCCTGTTCTCTCTCCCTCTTTCTCTTCCTCTTTCTTTCTCTCATTCTTTTTTTTTTTTTCCTTCTTTCTCTCTTTCTTTTTTCCTCAAAAAAAAAGAAAGTTGAATCTCAAGATGGAAAGTCAATGAACGTTTGAAAATAACTGTTGGTCAGGTGCAGTGGCTCATGCCTGATTGGGAGGCCGAGGTGGTTAGACCATGAAGTCAGGAGTTTGAGACCAGGCTGACCAACATAGTGAAACCCCATCTCTACTAAAAATACAAAAATTAGCCAGGTGTGGTGGTACACGCCTGTAATTCCAGC